ACATGTATAGAGGGTCTCCTCAGGATATGTTCTTTGATGTTCATCCAGGTGCAAAATGTCTTTCAAGAATGGGCCACACATATCACAGGTGTCAGCCTTCTGGGTAGAAGGATTTGCACTGGGGATCCTGACCTGTGACATCCCTTCTACAGAAGTATTCTGCTTGGAATGGGCCCCTTCATCTTCCACTCCATGCCAACAACCTGAAAGCAAAGAATTTTCTGGCAAACTGAGTGTTCCACTTGGTGGAAAGGGTAACTTCATTAGAACTATATGGCTGAGATATACAGGAATGGGTCCAAGGGATGTTGACAGGCCAAGGGCCCAGAATAAGAGTGAAGAGCCTACTGTGCAAGACAGGACCTAACCAAGCCACAGAATAAAGGAGGCCTTACTAAAGTTGAGGACAAAGAGAAGGACAAATGATGTGTGTGTGTGTGCGCACGCACACCAGTAAGCACATGAAAAGTTGCTCAACACCATTGGTCATTAAAGAAATGCATATCAAAACCACTTCACACCACCTAGGCTATCTATGGGAAAACAGACAACAAATATTGATAAGGAAGTAGAAAAGTTGGAATGCTCATACACTGCTGTGGAGCTATACAACGGAGCTGCCAATTTGGAAAACAGTGTGGCAATCCCATTTCTATTTATCTACCCAAAAGAAATGAAAACATACTTATGCAAAACCTTGTACTTGAATGTTCATAGCAACATTTTTCTTAACACCTGAAAAGTGGAAACAAAACAAATGCCCAACCAACTGACGAGCGAATAAACAAACCATGGTACAGCTCCACAGCAGAATGTTATTTGGCCGTAAGATGGAATGCAGTCCTGACATGTTTTACAGCATGGATGACCTCAAATATATTATGCTAAGTGAACGCCATTCATGGAAAAACATACTGTGTGACTCCGTTTGTATGAAATGTCTAAATAAGCAAAGGTACACAGTCATAAAGTATGTTAGCAGTTGCCTAAGGCTGAGAGAGAACGGCTAAAGGAGGATGCGGAAGGAATGTTAATGGGCACATTTTCTCTTTAGGTGATAAAAATGTTCTAAAATTAGTTTATGGTGGTATTTATACAACTGTGCAAATACACTAAAAATCACTGAGCTATACACTTCAAAGTATGAACTGTATGGTATATCTCAATGAATTTTTTTTTTTTTTAAGTCTCATGAGGGAAGGAAAAGAATCTAGGTGTCCCCCACAATGGATCCTCCAGCCAGGATTGGTCAAGCTTAGTTGGATCCATCAGGCAGACGACAGGTGCCTGATCCCCAACTTTTGCCCCAATGGGGCCCCTGGGCAAGAGCTATTGGGACTATTCATGAGGCTGTTGAGAGAGACGTGGAGAATGCACACAGCCCAGTCCCAGCACCCACAAGATCTGTAATAGGAAACCTGCAAAGAACCAGTGCCTTGAGTCCAGCTATGGGGCGAACAGAAATCTTTCTGTGAGAAAAAGGCAAAAGGGCAGAAGCTGGTCACCATGCTGGGCCAGGCAGAAAGGCCTTACCAAGTGAGGTCATGAGCTCAAAGTTCTCCAGCATCACACTGTGGTACAGGTGCCTCTGGCTTACATTAAGAATCCCCCACTCCTCCCTGGAGAAGTACACGGCCACATCTTCAAAGGTCACTGGGCTCTGCAATGACGGGACACCTAAGCCAAGGCACCAATGGATGGGCTGAAAAACAAACAAAATAGTTAAATGGATGCAGGCCCTTGACCTATGACTCAGAGTGCTGCCACACCTACTACTGGCACGTCCTCTTCTTGTGACCCCCTCGGTCCTCTTCCCCTCACTCACCTGCAGCTCCTCTTCCTCCTCAGTCCCCCACCTCGGAGGACATGAGAGGCCCTGACACCACTGGTGTCCCTCTCTCCTTGTAGTCCCACTGGTCACTGTATCCAGGCCAACCCAATCCAGAGGAACACAAGCCAGGTGCGTAGACAGTTGCTGTCTGAGCGCTGGACTGGCCAGGAACCCCTCCCCAAGGTAAACAAACTCTCTCGTGTTGTGTCTCTTGTCTCTCCAGATCACACTTCGCAAGTATAAAAAAATTGAGACTCTCTTTTCTCCCTTAAGCCTCTAGTACCAGGGCCCTGGGCATACTGGTTCACATTCCCTTACCTTGTACATGTCATTCTTTGGACTACACCATCATCATATCTAGCCCCCCTCCCCCCGTCCACACCACAGGCATCTCCCTAAATCCCTATATCCCACTATGCGCACAGCACACCCAACAAAGGCAACCAGGATCCAACACTGAGCCTGGCCTGCCTGGATCTCCAGAAAACACGACTTCCAGAAACAGCCATCACTTCTAGTTAATGCCTCCCCTCCTAGCCCTGTTACTTCAGCCTTCAGTTCCCCAGAACCATGAGTAGATCTTAAACACCCCTGCTCTCTTCCACCTCTATCCTTGTCCCCTCATGCTGTCCCTTCACCTGTCAAAGCTGTTCTCACTCTTCCTAGTAGACAAATCCCAGACCTACTGTCCCCTATCCCTGGCTTAGGGACTCTTAGGTTACACTGACCTTTTCTGCCCCTGATTATTCTCCAGCCAGACACCCCCTCCCCCACCCTCAGACCCCAAGGAGGGTGGCCACAAAAACCTGATGAGTTGTAGAGTGGTAAACCAGTCCTACCTCAGGCCCCACTGTCATCCTGCCTCTGTTACTTTCATGCTTCATGTCTAGTCTCTCATCAGAGGCCTGGTCACCATTCACCACAGCCACACATCATGTCCACACACAAGTCTTCATCCGTTGGATGTCTCCAGCCTAGACTTGATATAAAGCATACTTGATACCTTAATTTGGAAGTCTGTCAGATACCTCAAATACAATATGGCCCAAACCCAACTCTTTATCTTCCCTCTGATATCTACTCACTCTAACTTCCACATCTATCTACCTGGGTCAACCCTCATATCTCACTGTGTTACATCAGGAAATCTAGTCCACCCTTCTTAAAAAGTTCAAGAGCCAACAATTTCTCCTACTTCTACCTTTGGCCTAAAAGCACATACACCTGAACTACTGCAGTCACTCAATGGAAGACTCAGTGGTCGTCCTACCTCCAACCCCACCTCCACCACCCCCTGACCAAATCTGTTCTCCATTCAGCATCCAGAGGTAGCTTATTAAAACCTGAGTCAGGGGATCTGGGTGGCTCAGTGGTTGAGTGTCTGCCTTTGGCTCAGGTCATGATCCCAGGGTCTTGGGATCGGGCCCCTTGTCGGGCTCCCTGTTTGGCGGGAAGCCTGCCTCTCCCACTCTCCCTGCTTATGTTCCCTCTCTCACTGTCTCTCTCTCTGTCAAATAAATAAAATCTAAAAAAAAAAAAAAAAAAAGGCCTGAGTCAGAACACCTCCCTTCTCTGCTCTAAACTTTCCACACTCCCACCACACTCTATAAATAGAGACAGCTCCTCAGCTTGCCATTCCAGGCCAATACCTGTCCTCCTGCTCTCTATGTCCACCAGACAGAATACAGACCTGTAGTTCTCTGAACATTTTCATCCTATACTCACCTCCAAGAAATTTGCACATCCTGGTCCCTTTGCCTGGGACACCCTTCCAGACCTTATCCCATAGGATTCCAGAAATGTGAATGTCAGGGGAGGTCATCAAGAGGATGTGACTGCCAGATGACCCACGCATGAGCTGGACCTGGGCAATCAAGGCTTGTCCTCACCTCCGGTCCTTGGAATGTGTATTCTTACCCCCTCCCAGAAATTCCCTCAGGGACATAGCCTTGAGATGTGATGTGGTGCTGAAACCATCTGGGTGGTATCCGTGACTGAACCAAGTTAAGGTCTCTGTATAAACTTATGATTCAGTGGGCTGATGTGGAGGTCTACTCTTCTTGTGGCTGTCGAAGGCAAGCTTGCTGTGTACCTGCCCTTGCTTATTTAACCTGCAACCTACGAATCTGGAGTGACCTGCCTTTTTCTTCACTCTCTCCCTGCCCTCCACCTACAGGCTCAGTGTCAGCTTACATCAGGGAAGCTCTGGAGGAGGTTGCAAACTAACAGTGAACCCCTCCATATAACTTCCGGCCTGGATTTTGGATGCTAGGAGAAGTGACTCTCTGGCTTCCAGACTCAAGTGTAGGTGAAGAGTCCAGGACACCACTCTTCCCCGTACAGGCGGTACAGGATCAGGACTGGGATCCCAGCGGGTAAGGGGCTGGGACACCCTCCACTCACCTGACCCGGGTCCATCTGCGACGCTGCTGTCCTGGTCAGTCTGTGGTTTGGGCGGGACGGTGCGAGGCGGCGACAGGGACAAGCAATGAGGGCTATTCCAAAGCTTCAAATCCCCACTGTCCGGGGTGACCGCGGGCTGACGGTCGCACTAAGGGGCTTAGTCTTCCCCAGCATAGCATGCACCCAGGGACCTGGGAACTGCATCCGGAGACCGTGGGACGAAGGCGAAGCGGGGGGGTCGTTACCTCCGTTCTGCATCCGGGGAAACCAAGGCTCAGGAAGGAGGAGCCGTTAGCGGAGGGGGAAAAGTGCGTGCAGTGGAGTGGTGACAGTCCCGGCACTTCCCTACCCTCATCTCTGGTCCCAGGGGCCACCTGCCAAGCACCCCACCAACCGCGAATTGAGGAATGCAGTGGCGACAACGGAAGTCCCGCCCCAACCTCAGCTGCTCACGCAGAAACGCCCAGACCCTGAGCAAGCAGGGGCTCCAGGCCCGCAGCCCTCTAAAACTCTAGGTCCCGGAGCCAGTCGCCGCGCCGCTGCGTGGTTGCCGAGGTGATCGGGACCCACGCCCGGCACGTCCCTGCTCCCGCGACGCGAACTACATTACCCAGAAAGCCCCTCACCGAGTGTTTCCTCAGTGTATCCCTGTGAGCGCGCTGTCCGGACTCTGGCCAATGATGGGCTAGGAGCGTTTCCGACACAGCCGAGGTCTTCCGGTCGCCACTTCCGGGATCCGGCCATTTCTTTGTCCGCTTGCCGTTTTGTCCCGTGTGGGTGAGGGACCTTGCTGCCAGGTTGTGGCCTGTGTCCAGGAGGCTCCCCGGTCCTGCGGGCGTGATGAGTGAGCGTATCTAGCAGTCACGGCTGAAGAATCGTGTCTTGGCCCCCACCCGGCTGGACTCAGTCCCAGTGTCCTAGTCCCCGACTGAACTGCGGGCCTTGACGTTCAGGACGATGGAGCGTTCGCAGGGGCCGGGTCTTCATCCCAGAACCTAGTGTCGTGAGATACAAAGGACTCAGGCAGAGGGATCTGCATGTGCAACGACTCAGAGGTAAGACCGACCCGAGAACATTCAGGAAAGCTCCGTCTTCCACTGCAAGGAGCCAAGAGCGTGAGAGGAGTGCTAGGAGTCATGGGAATTTTTTAGTAGAAGAGGGATGTCCATGATCTGTTGTAGGATTTTGAGAGTATCCCAATGAATACCCAGTAGACATACTAAGTGAGCGCGCTGGTGGGAGAGGGGTTGTGGCCAGGCTGAAAACAGGAAGATTCATGAGGATGCTGCGGCAGCATTTGTCGGGACCGTTACGGTGGTGGCCTGTCCAGGGCAGAAGTAGGAGAGGTGAAAGAAGCGATCATATTTCGGTTAGATTTTCAAGATGGAGTTGATGGGTTTTCGTGGTGGATGTGAGGACTGAATGTAAGTGGCAGATAAAGGACCATCCCAAGGGTTTAGAAGGAATGAGGTACTACTGCTCGTTGAGATGGTCCCAAAGGAGGAGGATGTTTTGGGGAAGATTAGCAGTTAGATTTTGTAGACGTAGAGTCCGAATTGTCTGGAGACCTCTGAGTGTGGGTGACATATGTACTGTGAACACAAAGGGAGTTCTGGTTTGGCCTCCCATGCCAGGCTGTGGTCCAAGGAAGGGCCCGAGAATGGCATTTTGGAAGGAGAGTCTTGAGTTTTGGTTACAGATGAATGGCCCTGAGGTGAATGTGGGGTGTCCAGGAAGGACCAGTGGCTAGGTGGAGGACATGGGTGCCAAAAAAGAGAAGCGCTGTCCAAAGACCAGTGGATCTGGGGAGAGTGCGCATCCAGGAGGACGGGCCACCCTCAGAGGGTGAGCAGGCATGTCAGGGAACAAGGTTTGGGAGACATAAGGGGAGGTGGCCGGCAGTACAGACTGGGGCCCCAGGTCCCATGCCCAGGGCTCACAGCCATCTGCTCCCTGGCCTGGTATTGCAGAGCCCATTGACCTTTAAGGAGAAGGCTACATATCTCTTTTAGAAAAAGTGGGGCTCCTTCATAAGGCACAGTGGGGCTACTACCATGGCATGGTCCTGTCCTCACCAGGTTAGGCCAGTGCGTTCCCCGTGGGTTGTGCTGCTGGTCCTGATGCTGGCCTGTGTTTGATACCTCTTCTCCCAGACTGCTGCATAAGCAACCTGAACTCTTTGTCTTGGGACCTTTTTATCATGGTTGAGGGTCAAAAATATCACAACCTGGGCGCCTGAGTGGCTCAGTGGGTTAAAGCCTCTGCCTTCTGCTCGGGTCATGATCCCAGGGTCCTGGGATCGAGCCCCACATCGGGCTCTCTGCTCAGCGTGGAGCCTGCTTCCTCCTCTCTCTCTCTCTCTGCATGCCTCTCCACCTACTTGGGATCTGTCTGTCAAAGAAATAAATAAAAATCTTAAAAAAAAAAATATATCACAACCCTCATAGGAGATCACATCAAGCTTGGTTATTATCTGGCCAAGAGACCCCATCAGGGCCTGTTGCTTTTCTGTCCCCTCTGTCAGGGAAAAAAAACCCCACCAGCAAGTTTTCTGCCTTGTCAGTCCCTGTGATGACATGTGAGCATTGACATGGTCATTGATTATGGGGACAATGAGCTTTTCTGCTGAGATATTTTCTGGTTCCTCGTTTCGTGAGGTTTCGTTCTTCAGATGCATAGCAATCCTCACCCCTCTTGCTCTGTCATGGGTAAATCCCCTGACATGGGGCTGACCTCTCACAAACCACTTGATCCCATCTAAGAATGACTGTCTGCACTACCCTAAATGTGGTCACCCAAGTTGAACTTGGCAAGGAAACCTGGACAGGGCAGCTTGAATCATTTCTTGACCAGAGAGGCCCATGGAGGACCAGTCCTGGTCAGCACGAAACTGTTGTGGGAGGGACTGTAGCAGTGGGCTCATCTCTCATTTGGTAATTGACCTATGTCCTCTATTCCCCTGGTCCCAAAGTGAGTAGCCATGCCTCTTTTCTATTGTTCTGATCCCTTTCTGACACTCCATTCTTCTTTCCCTTGACTCTTGTCCCCTGGCTGATCCTTCTTGTCCTTTGCCTTACAGCTTTTCTCCTTCTCCCCTCTTCTGGTCAGGTCCCCCACCAATGGCCTCTCTTTAACATGTCCTGAGCTGATACATCTTTAAGTAGTTCTTGAAAATTTGTTCCTCCATGAGACTGCTTGTTCCCTCAAAGGAAGGTAGATGCAGTGTCAGTGGCCGGACCACCCTCACCGCACAGCCCCTGCCTATCGCCAGGCCCTACCAGCTCGACATTTTGCTGACCCACAGAGAACTAACACTGAAGAGACCAGTAAACGTATGGTGTCTGGAGAGGTGTTCAGTCACCAAAAATGTTTCAGAATGGGAAAAAAAATCCCAAGTACGTCAGGAAGGTGGGAAGGTTATCTCCTTTGCCTCCATCCTGAGAAAGCAGGAGTACATTCATATCTTCAAATGTTGTGAATGTGGTAACATGAGAAAACCTCCAGCCAGAGCTCTATTCCTTTTGACCACCAGAATGTTCTCCTTGAGAAAGCCTTTATAAAGGCGGTGAGTATGGCCCAGGCTTGAGTGAAATTTTCCATTTCTCCCTTGCACTAAAGGACCCAAGTGCAGAGAATGTGGGCATCTACGTCCAGAGCTCCATTCTTGTTAGCACCAAGAGATTCATGTCAGAGAACAGTTGTAGAAATGCAGTAACTTTCAAGAAAATATTGAACCTGTTTCCCATGATCCTTATTGAAGAAAGGCATAATGAGTACAGCTGATGTTGGAAAGCCGCCTCTCACAAGATTGAATCCAGTTTTGCAGCAAATTAGTGCATTGTGAGTGAGTATAGGGAGTAGGAGAGCAAAAAGCTGCAGCTCCTGCCGTGTTCTGCGTAGAAATATTAACTGGAGAGAGCTCCTGTGTGTACAGCCAGCACGGGAGAGCTGTTGGCCACGGCTCCTGCCCTGTCAACACCAACAACTTCAGTAGAAAAAAGCCATTTGAGAGCAGTGAATGTAGTCTTCCACTGCCCTTTTCTTTTTTAAAAAACATTTTATTTTAAATAATCAACCTATTTTACAAACTTTGTTCAATACAAAAGAATTAATACCTGAGAAAGACCCTACCTAGTAGCCTTCAACCACAAGTTGGACCTTGTACAGAAGAACGTTACCTGAAGAGACACTCTGTGACTGCCCTGTGTGTGGGGAAGCCTGTAGGGGCCACCTGGACTTTGAGACCACTTGCTGCACTGCTGGGTTCTGTGGGAAAAGCCCTTCTGTGTTTGATGGTCCCCTCCTGTTGCTCAGCAGAAGCAGTCCCTGTTCCCTGCTTGCCTTCCCCTGGAGAGATGGCGGTGGCCCGGCATCCACTGAAGTGGTATCATGGTGCTCACCCATGACTGAATTTGGCATGGATTCCTGCTCTAAGCAAAGGGCCTGATGGGATAGCTTTTGGAGGGCTTCTGGGTAAATTTCCCATTGTTTATGGACCTTGTGAAGTCTGCCTTTGACATCCCTGATGCCTTCATCGAGCTGCTTCAGGTCCTGCTAACAGTTCTTATCATTGCTGTCATCACCCAGCTCTGGTACCAGGACCTCACACTGCTCTGGGCCATTTGATAATGCATTTATCACCAGTTAATTCACCTCTGATGTTAGACTCCTGTTTAGCAGGAGCGCATAGAGAACATGACAGAGGTGTTCATAGGTTGGTCATCAGGGCCCCTGTAGCACCTCACAGAGGGCACAGCAGCAAGGCATGGCTCATCTCGGTCCAGATGTGACTCAGTTGGCCTTTGTACCCCATGTTCCCTGGCAAAGAATGAAGCCTGTGTGTTCCGAAGCTTTGGACCTGGAGTTCGCCTAGAAAAGGCAGTGGTTGGTCTGATGGTCAGTGTTTCAGGGACTGTCCTTCCCATCTCAGCAGTGTTTAAAGGAGGCCCCCTGAAGGCCACATCCTAGCAATATATCACCCACTTGTGTTTGTGTGAGAAGGAAATGAGTACCGTTAATGGGTAAAGAACACTGAGTGGACAGATAGGACATGGGGGAGCCTGGCACACCATTTTCATGTCTGGGTCCTTGCAAGATGAAGGTTTGCAGGGCGTCTTAAGGATCTGTGTAGCTCCCAGAGCTGTACGCCTAACCAGTGTTTCATGCTTTCCTGTCATCTTCTAGTGGGCTGGATACTCTGGTTATCACCATGCGGTCAGGAACTCCAGGACTGTGAGAATGAAAAGTCCTGTTTGCTAAGTGGCTTTATCGAGGGTTAGTTTACATAGTGTAAAACACACCCGTTATAAGTGCACTATTAATGACTTTTCGTAAATGTATAGAGTTGTACAGCCATTATTATCTTACCCATTCCCATCGCCTCAGAAGGTTCCTTTGGACACTTTTATAGCCCAAATCCACTCCCATCCCCAGCCCCTAGCAACCACTAATCTACGTATGTTTCTATACTTTTGCCTTTTCTGGATATTTCGTATCAGTGGAATCATGTAGTATGTAGTTCTTCGTGTCTCGTTTCTGTCACTGAGCATAATGTTCTTGAGGTTATGCATGTTATTCGTAAATATCAGAATTTTCTTCCATTTTATTGCTGAATAATATTCCTTTGTATGGATACACCACGGTTTATTTATCCATCATTAACTGACAGATTTTGAATTGTTTCAAGTTCTTGGCTATTATAAATGATGCTAGTAGGCATTTTGCTTACAAATCTTTGTGGAGACATATGTTTTCATTTAGCTTGGGTGGATTCTTAGGAGTCAAGGACAGGCTTCCCCAAGATGGGCCACTTTGGCATAAAGATTATTTTGATTTAAAGGTAATCAAGGGGCACCTGGGTGGCTCAGCGTGTGACTCTTGATCTCAGCTCAGGTCTTGATCTCTGATTGTGAGGCAGTTGGCTTCTGCACTGGGTATAGAGCCTACTTAAAAGAAAAAAAGGAATAATCAGAACGCTGGGTGGCCCAGTTGGGTTGAGCGTCTGCTTTCCACTCAGGTCATGGCACCCGACTCTGGGATCAAGCCCCGTATCAGG